TCGAAAGCTTGTCCAAGGAACAAGACCAGCCTCAAGTTATGCTTCTGAGTTTCGGCAAATTGCAGGCGATTTGGACTAGGGTGAAGCAGCACTGATAGACCAATTTCAAAGTGGGCTTCGCAGTGATGTTAAGGACTTGCTTCTTTCAGTAGAAGACCCAACTTCACTAAATGACGTGGTTTCGAAAGCCGTCAAGTGCGACAACTGACTATATAAACACAGGCAAGAATGTTTATGGGACCTTCCAGCAAGACAACACCATTCTCAGCCCATTACCAGACCAGCACCTTTTGAAGCAGACCCAATGCAAATTGATACTGTAAGAATTAAGCCACTCTCAGCAGCAGAGAAAAGACGGCGCTATGCAAATAATCTCTGTTTTTACTGTGGTGACCCAGGTCACATTGTTAAAAACTGTTCTAAAAAATCTAACATATCACCAAGAATTGATACTATTGTCTCCTCAGAAGAACTGTCGGAAAAAGAACGGCCCCAGTCGCAGTAAGGGGGCTGTGGCTAGATTATACTGTTAGTCCAAACCCCATATACCTACTACCCAATAACTGCCCTGTATCAGCATTCATCCCAGAGTTATACATACACTTGCCAAATGGAACTCAAACAAGTGTGGAAGCTTTAATCGACTCTGGAGCATCAGCATGTTTCTTAGACCTAGCCCTAGCTCAAGAACTCAACTTACCTATTTATAAAAAAGAGATGCCATTATCAGTTGAGATAGTTGACGGTCAAGAGCTTTCATCAGGGTCTATAATGCAGAAAACTGGGCCTATTTCTGTACATTTGCAAGATCATTATGAGGAAATAATCTTTAACCTTATCCCTTCTCCTCATTACAAAGTAATATTGGGGCTATCCTGGTTGACTCTACATAATCCTGAAATTAAGTGGCACGAGCGAATCATCACTTTTTCAGACCCAACCTATAGCACTCAACTTCTTCCGCCTGCAGGAACTAGCTTTACTAATAAAGAGCAAATTTTCATAGTTCAAGTTTTTTCTACTGGGGCAGTTGACCCCTACCATACTGACAAAGGGCCATCCCCAACAGTTCCAGAAAAGTACCAAGAATTTAGTGATGTTTTCAGTGAAAAAGAAGCCTATAAATTACCCAAAAATCGTCAATATGACTGTACAATCGACCTATTACCTGATACGCAGCCTTCTTGAGGTCCTATTTACGAATTATCTACACAAGAACTTGAAACTTTGAGGTGATATATTGAGGAAAATTTAGAAAAAAGATTCATCTGCCACTCAAAATCGCCAGCAAGAGCACCAGTACTCTTTGTCAAAAAAAAAGATAGTACCCTGTATATGTGTGTCGACTACCGAGACCTGAACCGAATTACGGTTAAAAATCATTACCCACTTTCCCTAATATCAGAATTGTTAAATAGACTTACCACTGCCAAAGTCTTTACTAAAATAGACTTAAAGGAGGCCTATAACCTGGTATGAATAAAACCAGGTGACAAATGGAAGACAGCTTTTCGAACAAGGTATAAACATTTCGAGTATTTAGTGATGCCTTTTGGGCTCACTAATGCTCCAGCTGTTTTCCAACACTTAATGAATGATATTTTTAGAGATCTCCTAGACCAATTCATCATTATTTACCTGGATGATGTGCTGATATATTCGCCTGACCAAGAAATACACAATTATCATGTGCGAATAGTATTGGAATGCTTACAGAAAAATGGGTTGTTTGTAAAACTGGAGAAATGCGAATTTGACAAAAAGAAAATAGATTTTCTAGGATACCACATTACCCCTCAGAGGGTCCAAATGGACCCTAATAAGATTAAAAGTATCCTCACTTGGCCTATTCCAACATCAGTTCGAGAGGTGCAGCAGTTTTTAGGTTTCTCCAACTACTACCGACATTTCATCAAGAATTATGCCCAACTAACCATCCCTTTAACCAACCTTACCCGAAAACAAAAAAAAGGTGAAAAAGGATTTGTCTGGACCCCATCGACTCAACTAGCATTTACCTCTTTAAAAAAGGCTTTCACAACTGCTCCTGTTCTAATCCAAGCTGACCTAACCAAACCATATTATCTAGAAACAGACACATTAGATTATGCCCTGGGGGCTATCCTGTCTCAACTAAAATATGAGAGGGAACTTCACCCTGTCACCTACTATTCACGAAAATTCACAGCTGCAGAAATTAATTATGACATACACGATAAAGAACTTCTTGCAATAATAACCGCTTTTAAGCAGTGGCAACATTTTTTTGAAGAAGCACAACATGAAACCACAGTATACTGTGATCATAAAAATCTACAATATTTTACCACCACAAAAACCCTTAGTCGCCGTCAAGCCAGATGGTCCCTCCTTCTTTCAGATTACAATTTCAAGATTATGTTCCAGTCGGGAAAGAAGCAGGGTAAGTCTGATGCCCTATCTAGAAGGCCAGATTATCAACCCCAGAAGGGTAATGAAGTAGTAATGCAACAACATACTATGTTATTGAGGCCTCAAAACCTTCACATAGATGCTATTTACGCAGCACCAACTAACATCACCATGTTGAACAAAATCCATAACCAATTAAAGGGTGACCCCCTGGCTCTAGATGTAGTTGAACATCTAAACAGCCCGAATAAGAACGTTCAGGGCTTGCGATCTGATTATCATAAGTTCCAACATATCGATGGCCTCCTGTTTAGGAAGGGCATACTATATGTACCAAACCTAACAGAAAGGGTAGAGGTGTTGTGCTCAAAGCATGATTCAAAACTAGCAGGTCACTTTGAGATAGCTAAAACTATAGAATTAGTTTTACAAGACTACTGGTGGCCGAAACTTCAAACCTGTGTAAGAAATTATATAAAATCTTGTGATACCTGTGCCAGGTCTAAAATCCCTAGACATCACCTCTACAGCTTACTTACCCCCCTACCTATTCCTTCGCAACAATGGCAATCTATTTCTATGAATTTCATCACAGACCTCTCGTTATCATCAAGGTTTGATTCAATCCTTGTTGTGGTTGACTAATTAACAAAAATGGCACACTTCATTATATGCAATAAAAGTATTAACACTGAGCAGACAGCTCACCTGGTCTTGAGAAAGGTGATATGATTACATGGAGTCCTAAGTGATATAGTGTTGAACAGAGGGCCCTAATTCATTTCTAAGTTCTGAAAACAACTGTTCAACCTTATGAGAACAAAAATTAACCTATCATCAGCTTACCACCCTCAGTCAGACGGTCAGAGCGAAAGAGTAAATCAAGTGTTAGAACAATACCTAAGGTGTACAATTAATTACCACCAAGACAACTGGGTTGATTTGCTTTCCCTAACCAAATTTGCCTATAACAATGTATCCCACACGTCTACCAAGACAACCCCTTTTTTTGCCAATTACGGTTTTTACCCTAACTTTGACCTTCAGATACCATTACTCCTCACAGTTCCATTTACAGAAGACAAAGCCACTCAACTGCATCAAATAAGAGAATCACTTACCAAAGAACTGGCAACAGCACAAGAATGCTACAAGATACAGGCAGACCGACATCGACAAAAGGGTTCTAATTTTAAGGTTGGCAACAAAGTCTGGCTACTTCATCATAACATTCATACTACACGCCTCTCAGACAAGCTGGACTACCAAAGGCTGAGTCCTTATACTATTTCTGGAAAAGTTAGCCTGGTGGCATTTCGTTTAACATTACCTTCTTCTCTTAGGATCCACAACACTTTTCACATCTTCCTATTAGAACCGTATTCAATCAACACATTTCCCGGAAGATCAGCAGAACCACCACCTCCTGTAGTAGTTGAAGACAAAAATGAATACGAGGTAAATGGGATACTGGACTCCAAAATTATTCAGAAGAAAGTGTATTACCTAGTTGATTGGAAAGGCTATAATAGCAACGAATGCTCTTGGGAGCCAGCTGAGAACGTTGTCCATGCCTGGAAAGTGGTCAAGGCCTATTACCAGCAATACCCCAATAAACCTGGGCCTATATTAAAACCTAAAAGGGGTAGAAAATGAACAAAGGGAAAGCTGTTAAAAGGAGGAGATAGTGTAACAGTTAAGACAGTGACCCAAGCCAGCTACGATCAAGAACACAACCCAAGTCACCCATGTTCAAGACCGTGACCCAAGCCACCCACAATCAAAGACCGTGATCCAGGCCCGCATCAGGTGCCATAAGCTAAATTAACCAATCCTGATCCAAGTAATTTTCTGATGCATTAATTATGCCATCATTAGTTAATTAATTTATAGTGATAGCGATAGTTAGTCATAGGGCAATTTGTAGTCAATTAGCGATGCATGAATTATAAGGTAATCGTGTAGTAATTTGTAGTAATTTGTAGTAATTTGTAGTTTAGATTAGTAATCGTAATAATCAAAAGTGAAAGCACAAAGGGTATAAAAGCAATACTTACAATTTTTGTAAAAAATCAGTCTGTTCAATAAAGATTTCTTCGATCTCGTATTAAACAACAAAAGAACCTGTTAGTCTCGACCTAATCATTACAATATAAAACTATTTTTTAATCAATTGTATATATATTTTATTGTAGAGAATTATTTTTTGTTAGAAACTATAAGTTTTGTATTATCATGTTAAGTAGATATAATATAAATAAATGTTTCTTATTTTATAATTACTTTTACAAAAAATCTTTAATATTATATTTTTTGGCTAAACTTAATCAATTTTTGGTTTATTGTTGCTAATTAATTTTATTAATTTACAATTTAAGTAAGTAATTACAAATACAGTCTGCATATATATATATAGTTAATTTTTAAAAAAATTCTTATTGCATTTTGAAATATATTTATTGTTTTAGTTATTATCATTTTGAAATAACATGACTTGTGCTTGAAGAATTTGTATAATAAACTCAATTATGTCTTTTGAGCTCTTTCTGTTTTTAAATATATATATATATTCTTTAGAAATTTTAACTATTGATCTTTTTAATAAACCTGTTTAGTAAATAAATTATTAACAATATCCTATAGTTACTATAACAAAAATCATTGATGATTTATTATGATTGTATTTGTTTAACTTTTTCATTATAGTATGCATTTTCATAATATATTTGCTATGCCTTTAATAAGATATTTCCATTCGACTTCATTTACCAATACTATGTTATTATGAATTTATACAACATATTTTGCATAACCATAACTATAACTACTGTTAAGCTCAACCTTGACAGATAATTATGTTTTCTTACTTATATAAAACTAAACATATCAGACTGCAATATTAATCAAAACTGAAATAAATTTATATAATATTGTCTCATTTATTATTTTATTATAAAATGTATAGTATTTTCTTTAAAGTTTTTTATAAAAAAAATCCAATTTCTGATTACTAATTAGAAGGTATATTGCAAAAAGTTCATTTAGATTAAATCTTAATATAGTGTTAAAAGATGTGTAGTCTTGCTTTAGCACATCTAAAATACATCTTTAAATTTCTACTTCTCATATGCTTGATTTGAATTTTTAAATAAAGTATTTGATCATTCATCTTATTTGACTTAGTTCTCAACAATAATGTATTAAATTGATATTTATTAATGATTTTATTAACTATTTCATTATTAACAAAATAGAAATTTTCTGTTAGTAACTTATCAAACCTTTTTATAACAGCTTTTCATAAATAACTCCAAGAGCCACTTGCATATAACATTTGGTATTTGATTAAAGAATATAAAATCCTATAATTTATTACAACTGCATTTATAGAATTTGATAAGTAGTTGGTATTAAAAATAAGAAAAAATAAAAGCACAAAACTTTACTTACTATTTGCATCAGACAGTAGGTACCAGACAATAAGCAACCTTGATATCATGGTGTTTAGAAATGTAAGAATAACATCTGGCAAAAGTGATATGTTGCAATTTTTAGTAAAATATGAGAGTTTTCCCCATTTAACATTTTTAAGTTTCTCAAAATTTTGGTTTAGAAATGAAGAAAAATCATCTATATATATAAAGAACCTTTCAACTTCACAGCAATTAAATCCTTCTCAAGTAAGACCCATATAACTATTATGAAACTAGAATATTCTGTTGACTTTGTGTTATTATTAGCCATATTCTGTTGATTCTGTGTTATCATTAACCATTTTCTGTAATAACAGATAATGT